ACGAAAAAGAAAGAGGCTCCCTTGTGAATGTTTCAGTTATTAACTGCTATTTTTGCTCAAGGGAAAATTTCAGAACCTCCCTCGAGGTTTTAACAATTTCATTTAACTCCCTCAAGGTTTTAAAAATTATACATACCTCCCTTATCATTTAAAATGATAATACTGCCCTTAAATATTTTAATGGACTTCCTTGTTTGGTATGCTTATACTTAGAATGATTTTTAAAATTATTTTTCCTTCTTATTCCTTCTTTTTAAAATTTTTTGTCAATAAAACTATAGAACTAACATTATTTCCTCTAATTTCTATTGTAATCAAAATGTTGAACTAGTGATTTTTTTTATGAGTTAACTTATATGTAATCCAATGTTTTTGCTAATTTTTTTCTATTTTTGATATTAAAATTAACAATAAATCAAAAGGAAATGACCCAAAATCGCTACTAAATTATGATAATCCTACCACTCGAAAAATTCATAAACTTTAAATGAATTATTTCAATATTTTCTTTTCTATCTTATAAATCTAAATCCATAATAAAATACCATCAAAAGTATTCTATTATAGTAATAAAATTATTGTTACAGTTGTTTATCAAATAATAGATATGAACATGAAAAATTTGGCCCCTTTTCCCTATAATTGTATAGGAAAATAAATTAAAACTAATTACATAAGGACACTTTTGGGTGTTCATTTAAAAATTTGACCAAGTCAATATTGTTTTAAGATTTTGTTACTAAAAGTATCAAATCAAGAAAGATAGGTGTAGTTCTTCAAACATGAGGGAAGATCAATGAAATTGTCAGAAACCTCAAGGGAGGTTTCTGAAATTATCCCTTTGCTTAATGGATAGCGTAGAATATGTGGAACACTCAGGAAATAAGTTGAATTGGACAACGTTTCAACGATTAAAGAAAAAGCAACATCAATGATTAAGTATAGTGCATGTCATCGTCATAGCCCTTTCCTTTTGGAAAGAGAGTTGGCTAAGTTTGGATGTGATCTTTTGATGCAAATTCTTCATCAGAATAAGAACTTTGGGTTTTGATGACAAAGCAATTTGGCACCACGCCATCAGTATTAATTTTCTACATTAATTAGGTAAAAGATAGTGTGTCACTTTAAATGTGTTAAACGTGATGCTGTTGATGGTTCAAATATATTTAATTTGAATTTGTATCAATGAGATTATTTGTGAGACAGAACTTTGAATGATTTATATAATATTTTTAATGCTTTAATACGTTAATACTTTAGAGTTTATGTTTATTGTGTTAATATGTACATTGTATGCTAAAATTGAAATTGACAATTGCAAAAGCTTCAGATTTGCAACCGTGAACGTAAAGGAGCTTTTTGTTCATTTTTTCTTGAACTAACTCGAGATAGTGTATGCAACTATAAATTTGAGATTGAAATACTCCAATTCTGGTTTTATTTTGTGTCCTCATAAATCCGGTGTGATCAATACCCAAAGCAATACTAAATTTTCATATTCTCATATTTAAAATATTTCTAATAATCTATCCATCAAAATTTATGTCATATGTAATATGATTTTAGTTTCAAATAACAAAAGCAGTATTCTGTTTGTAGCTTTTTACATCAAGTAATGAATTTCCAAATTTTAGTACTTCATTAGTTTGTTATGAAAATTTTTAATAGAAAACCTTTCTTCGAGAAAACATATAATTGAAAATCTATTTTAGACTTTTCAATAAAACCTCAAAATCTCCATAAGTAAATCACAATGTGAAAATATGTTATTATATCTAGAGAATTGCCTAAAAAAAGTCGTTTAAATTATTTTAAAAATAAAATGTAGAATTGCCATAACACAAAATATCTGTCTTTCTTATTTTAAATGTTGTTCAGAAAAACTTGTTAAAATTAGAAAAATACTATACAATTAGAAAACTACATCAAACCTAGCATAAAAATGCACATATTCATAATTATTACCACTCTTACAGTTATACAAATTTTTAAATCACAAGTATTCTCTTTTCTTATATTTATACACTTTCCCTAATCAACTTTATTTTTTATAAATTTTAACACCTGAACAGTACATTAATGGTACCCTACTGGTACCCGTCACATTGTCCCTAAATTAATAGAAGTTCACCAAAGACCGCAGGCATCGTCCGCCAGATGCGTCAACACTGGAAGGAAAGGCCCAGAATGGCCAGCCACACTATAATTACAATTCGGCATTAGGTCAGTTGAGTTTTCGTACTGGAACATCGTGAGAAAGTGGCACTAAAGCCTCCTGCCAATCTACAAAAATTATCACATTCTGGTAACAGAATGTGTTGTAAAACAAGGCATCTCATAGATGACCTAAGTCTAGGGACTTGGGCATTTGGGGAGGCACAAAATGTTCGGATAATAAGTATAATACCACATTCTACCAAAAAAATGAGGCTAAAGCAGATTATTATTATTATTTTTTGCAAGAGAGAGGTGGAACTCAAGAAGCAGAAAGGGAAAATGAGGATTTGAAATCAAAATCTCTAAATTCTAGAGTTTCAAATATGCTTTTTCTAAAATCTCATAATCCCACTTTAACATTACAAAAAAAGAAAGCCCAATTCTGACAACCAATCTCAAATTCTTATTTTCGTCCCTTTTCCATTAGCCGGTATTACACGACTCCAAAAAGAGAAAAAAAAAAAATTTTTTGTGGACCCTTTAATTCACATAGACCAAATCTGAAAGTCTTGAATTCTTAAAGCCTGTCCTCAAGTGACAATAGAAAATTATCTCTTTAAAGAAAACCTGTATTTGTCTTCATTTTCATATTAATTAATTCATTACCCACACTACCTCTTATGGAAAAGACACATGATCCTGGAACCTTATTTATTTTTTGGGAAAAAATCTATTTTCTATTTGAAGCCTTAGAGGTGAAGTTGGCAATAAACTTCAATTGAATGGCTCAACCAAAAGCCTGGTAGAACACCATGTTAATGAGATAGTCTGTATATCCTTCCATACCATTTTGGAGAAACGACAACACGATAGATTGATTGATTGGGCATTTAAACAACAATTTTTTCCAAAAGTAACAAGAATCTTTAAGTTGTCTGCTAAAGTGTCTCAACTTAGATTGGGTACATGCACCTATAGCCAAACTCATTGGTTACTGTAAAGGATAACGTTCAGTATGCAAAAGATGGATACCATTGAAAGATCAAATATTGATATACACAGACAACAGCTTTTATCTAATAATACTCTTTACGTGAACGAGCCGAGGAGTTGTCCTCCATTCAACCTCAGATCCACTAATTGTTCCATGCATGTGGCATTGTACAATTGAAAGCATATAGCACATAACTATGGCATAAACAAAGGTAAATTGACAGTTTACATTAGAAAATTAATTCTGCAGATAAGCATGCAACACAAAAGACATAGTAAAATAGATATCGGCTCAATACGCTCTTAGCTGCTCCAACAAATATTACTAACCAAGGAAAAAAAAAAGGAAAAAGAAAGAGGCTCCCTTGTGAATGTTTCAGTTATTAACTGCTGTTTTTGCTTAAGGGAAAATTTCAGAAATCTCCCTCGAGGTTTTTAACAATTTCATTTAACTCCCTCAGGGTTTTAAAAATTATACATACCTCCCTTATCATTTAAAATGATAATACTACCCTTAAATATTTTAATGAAATTCCCTTGTTTGGTATGCTTATACTTAGAATGATTTTTAAAATTAATTTTCATTAATTTTCCTTTTTATTACTTCTTTTTAAAATTTTTTGTCAATAAAACTATAGAACTAGCATTATTACCTCTAATTTCTAGTGTAATCAAATGTTGAACTAGTGATTTTTTTATGAGTTAACTTATAATTCAATGTTTTTGCTAATTTTTGTTTTCTGTTTTTGGTATTAAAATTAACAATAAATCTAAAAGAAATGGCCCAAAATCGCTACTAAATTATGATAATCTGACCACTTGAAAAATTCATAAATTCTAAATGAATTATTTCAACATTTTCTTTTCTATCTTACAAATCTAAATCCATCATAAAATACCATCAGAAGTATTCTATTATAGTAATAAAATTATTATTATAATTGTTTATCAAATAATAGGTATAGACATAAAAAAATTTGGCATCTTTTCTTATAATTGTACAGGAAAATAAATTAAAAATAATTACACCAAGACATTTTTGGGTGTTCATTTAAAAATTTGACCAAGTCAATATTATTTTAAGGTTTTATTATTAAAACTATCAAATCAAGGGAGGTAAGTGTAATTCCCTTTGCTTAATGGATAGCGTAGAATATGTGGAACATTCAGGAATTAAGTTGAATTGGACAACTTTTCAACAATTAAAGAAAAAGCAACATCAATGATTAAGTATAGTGCATTTCATCGTCATAGCCCTTTCCTTTTGGAAAGAGAGTTGGCTAAGTTTGGATGTGAACTTTTGATGCAAATTCCTCATCACAATAAGAGCTTTGGGTTTTGATGACAAAACAATTTGGCACCACGCCATCATTATTAATTTTATACATTAATTAGGTAAAAGATACTGTCTCACTTTAAATGTGTTAAACGTGATGCTATTGATGGTTCATATATATTTAACTTATATTTGTATCAATGAGATTATTTGTGAGACAGAACTTTGGATGAGCTATATAATTTTTTGATGTTTGAATACGTTGATACTTTAGAGTTTATGTTTATTGTGTTAATATGTACATCATATGCTACAATTGAAATTGACAATTGCAAAAGCTTCAGATTTGCAACTGTGAATGTAAAGGAGCTTTTTGTAAATTTTTTCTTGAACTAACTCGAGATAGTGTATACAACTATAAATTTGAGATTGAAATACTCCAATTATGGTTTTATTTTGTGTCCTCATAAATTTGGTGTGATCAATGCCCATAGCAAAATTTTTTTGGTGATTTAATCTCCAGTCACTACCATAGACCAAAATATATCTTGGGATAGTAAATTACTTATGATGATCCTTTTTCAAATACCTATCAACACAGCTATTATATCGACAGTAGAATTAGAGCATACTACATTTTGTAAGAAAGTGATTGGTTCTTGCTAGATGAGTCAACATGTATTCGCATACCCCTAACAGCTCTATATATAAGACTGTGAGGGTAGAAATAAACCCCGAAGAACACATTAGAGCCAAGCCATATGAATGCCCATTGAAGATGTACTAGAAGAAACATGTTCAAGGTTTTAGCTTCTTTACTGCTGTTCCTGGTGCTCTACTGCAGAACAACCATGGAAGAATTGAGCAGTAATTGTCCTCAGAGATCGTGTAATGGAACAACCGCAGCTGGCCCTTCTCCAACTCCTTCATCCGGGTCGCCACAACTCCCCCAACAAGAGGGTAATGATTGGAAGAGTACTACACAAAGTTCTTGGAATTTGTTAATTGACAAATGTTCTTTTTTACTTTTTCAAAGTCAATTAATTATGATGCATGTGTAAGAATTCAAAATTAAGAAAACTTAAGTAGAATGTCCTTCACCTAAAAAGAAAAATAGTTGAATGCTCTTTTCCTAAAAAATTAAGCAGATTTGAAGTTTAATACTAAAGATAACAGCTTTTTGTTGTATAAATGAGCGTTAACTGAATTAAGCATGCACCTTGCAAGAAGAGTTAACTTCATTTTGGCCCGAAAAATTAACAAAAGAATTTCAGTTCAGTCCCTCATAATGAAAAAGTTAAAATTCGACTCCAAACAAGACATTTGTTCACGTCAATCCAAGAATGAAAATTTGTTTAAATTTCATCATTTTATCGAAAATATGATAAGTGAAATTACTAATTTGAGTTCCCTACAAATTTTATTTTCCCAGCTAAATTTGGAGGGCAAAATTGAAATTTTTTTCACTTTTAAGTGATGTATTGAAATCTGTTAGTAATTTTGTTACATTTTATACACACTAAATATATGGCATACGCATAGCATTCAATATATAATAAAAAGCGCTTTTCCCTTTGCTTTTCAAATTCATTGCATGAAGGCTATACGATTACTACTTGAATATAGTCTTACGCATGTCCTATCGGTAGTTTGCGAAGATAGAGCTTCAGATACTGGTACTTAAAGAGGATCAGGTAAATTTCCCATTGTCTTGTGCACGTAACGTCGGTAGTTTGGGAAAAAATAATTAATTGTGAAACTACCACTACAAATGGCTATTGCAAGTTGCTTAGGGCTAATGAAGAAATAAATGTTGGTTTTCTACATTAATGTAGACATTGAAGTGCTTACTAATCAAATTTAAAAACCTTTTTATCATCTAAATTCAATTTTACACCGCTAAAGATTGACACTGTGGATATTAGTTCACTTTTAATAGTTTTGATACCCTTGTATAATGCAAATTTGGGGTTGCATACTTAATAAGCAAAGATTTGTTATTTATTAAGTTGATGACCACTAAACTTGCTTTTCAGTCCAAAACTATAGGGAGTTAAAGGTAAGGTTCTAAACCATGTTGAGATCAAATATAGGATGCTCGAACCAAAAGGCGATATTGGTAGTTTATCATAGTGATTATAATTATTTCAATTCTGGTATCATCTTTTCTTTTATGCTTATTAGAAGAAACAATTGCTTATTCTACTCTTTCTAAAAAACGTTACAAAGTGTCCATTTGATTAGTTCACTCTTTTGCCAGTGGATGCTGTAAACACTCTGCTTGATCTTGCGCCTACAAGTCAGAGGTTAGTGAAACACATTTCGGTCACTGACTGCAATTCAACAACGTTTAGGTCCATTATAGAATGCAGCTGCAACAACAGTACGAATGCGTGCTGGGTGACTACAATGTATGTTTTCTCTTACTCGTATCCATTTTACTCTTTCATCTGAGCTTTGACATTTCATAACAAATATTATAGGGTTTTCGGAAAATTTTCTTTTAGCAAGGCAACGCTGTAGTTTTTTTCTTTCTTTTTTTTTTTTCATTCACAGACATTTGACAAAAATAAAATAAAAGTTACAGGAAAATTACCACCGCCCACAGTCCCCGCCCTATCAACCCTGTCCAACCCCGCAAAAAATCCCTAAAGCTCTCCCCATGAGATCTTTCTCCCTTATTCACGACCAGATACCTCGATCTGGTCTTGACTAGATCGAGGAGGGTAGGGGAGGGCCAGGGGGTGGGGGGAAAGGGAGGGGAGGAGGAAGAGGGAAGGGGAAGAGGGGAGAAAGAAGAGGGAGGGAGCGGTGGTGGTTGTGGATGGCAGTATTAATTTTTTAAAAATATTCTAAAAATATTTTAATTTTAAAATGTACATCAAAATATATTCCAAAAACCCCTCCAAAAACATCATATAAAACATGTATAGTAAAAGTTTTTCATATACACTGCTATAGTAAAATATTTCAAAAATATCCCAAAAATAGTTAATCCAAACGGAATTGTGCTTCCCAACATGAGTACCTTTTCTATAATATTGCTGAGGCTAGTTACGTAACTAAAGATTTGGTTAAAAATATATTTTTTCCTTCAAAGAAAATTTCTGTAATTTTCTTGAGGAATGAAATTTGGGTTGGAAGGAAACTATTAGAGAAGAGTGTTAAAGTTTATTTTTGTATCTAAGATAGCGACTTTTAAAAAAAGTCCTCTTCTCTTAGTGGTTATAAATATGATAGGCTTAAATAAATTCAAAGATGCTAAGGTGCCATTGACGAGCACGGAGTATACATATAACAATTAACTCATTCACAGTCAAGTTTTACCGTTATAACATCCTAAACTAAAGGAAGATTGTCAATTACTGGCACTACTAAGCACCTCTATTATTTAGACGACCAACAAATTAAAGAAAATAAAAATATGCTAAACTTGTGCAAGAAAATAGAAAATGAAAGCTTCTTAGATTATGGTATCCCTAACTACTCATGCAAGTGCTATTTTTGGATCATTGAGTACTACTATCTTGGTTAGTTATGGTGTAATTTTCTAATATATGTGAAACCTACTCTAATAATGAATCAACTATACTTGTAACTAAGACATACCTACTCTCGTGGTTATAAAATTAGCTACAAGTTTATTTTATGTAATCACTAAAACTACAAAGGTGCATCTCTACTCTCGTGAGTATACTCCCTAGGTTTAGCACTTCTTAAACTAGTGTTAAATCTCAATTTTCATTGAAGAAACAGTACCTTTAGATAATCACAACTAATGGTACCAAGTTAATCATGATTTAAGGAGCAAAAGGGCTAAATAACTTGCTCAAAATAAAGGCATCAAATAGCCAAAAAATAAGCACTAAACAATCATAGAAAGTTTAATCAAAACCCAAGGCATAAACTTTAGAGAGACATAATAAACATAAAATCCAAACTTGTATAATAACTAAACAATAGAATCAAATACAAAAGATAAAGAGTTTGGAAAGAAATGTAACCCTTGTCACATGAGTTCATCTCCTTCGTTTTCGTCTCCTTCTTCATCTTTGCCTCGCTAATAAACAAGAAGGATAAACTAACTAGTTAAATTATCCTATATTATACTAAGCTAACATTCAAAAATGTAAGAACTACATTTTAGTTGTATTTCTTACCCTCTCCAAGCTCTTTTGATTCTTGCAACTCCATGGCTATTTATAGATGAATTTAGTCAAAAAATGAGCCTTCAAACATCACTTTTACAGTTGTAAAATAGTTGTCACACGTCCATTTATACCTATGACTTATTGGAGGAAAAAACAAGTTGTGCAAGTGAAGAGCCATAATTTCTGACCAGAATCTGGCCAAATATCCGTTCAGAAACTAGCCGGATTGTCTGGCCAAATTTCTCCCCTGCTTTGCTTCTCAATTTATGTTCAGTCTTCAATGTTGTTCTAATTTTGCATCAATTTCAACTGAACCTTTCTCGATGATAGAAGCTGAATTAACTTTTGACCAAAACATAACACTTGTATCCTTTTGAGTTAGCTTTCCAATGCATCAAAAATTACCTCATTTGAATTTGTGTAGGCTACAAAATGACTGAAATACCCTTAACTGCTCAATGCCATGTTGCAGCTTTAACCATAGAAGTTGGCTATTGTAATTCGGTTTTTCAATCTGGAAAACCTTTAAACTGGATTTAGATATCTTCATAGAAATTGTAGATCTATCTCTTATCTTTTAAAATGGTTCAAGAATCATCTCAATTTGATCATTGTATCTCAAGTTATAGCCAAAATACAAAAATATGTCAAAGCTGTCAACTTTCCTTTTTCATCCAAATAAAGTCTATTTCCAACTCCTATAAAAATTATGAATAAAATACAAGTAAAAAGGGACATAAACCTTATTTAAACACTTAAGAGCATTTTAAACTAATTATAGCCAAAATAATCAATTTCCTTCTTATAGCAATGCAAAAGTGACTGAAAATAACATAAAATGTCATTTTCGTGTAGCTCAAAATAGTCACTTATCAGCCATCAAGAAAGAGGTTTGGAGAAGCCCTAGGGCCTAATTTGAAAACGGCTTTAGGTTAAGCACCAAATTATGAGAATTAGTTTTAGTACGCTATTTTGAATCTTTGGGTCGTTGAGCCTTTTCTAATATTTTGGCTTCTCTTGTGATTTTAAGTATAAGTAAATCTTATATACATTGACAGTGTATACACTATTACCATTCGATCCATTACATATGTGTAAAAAATTCAAGTTTTGCATAGTTACTATTAATCTAATCTAACAGTATATATATTATCAGTATAGGAAAGATTGATCGTTTAAGTATTTGTGCTTTTGGACTTATGAACACTTTCTCCTGAATTAATTGATTGTTACTATCTCGACTAGTTATGGCTTAATTTCTTAATGGGAAAAGTTACCCCTGTTTATATCTATATAAAATGGGAAAAGTTAGTCATTGTTATACCCATGAGTGCAAGATTAAAAATTATAACTTGTATCATTAGTGTTGATACCCTATATTAGAACTTGTACAAGATATGGAATTAAGATAGAAAAGTGTTAATATTACCTCTCGCAAACTTCTTTTTGACTTGTCAATCTTCATAAAGTAATTTATTGACAATTATTTCATAAAGTAACATGTAACGTACTCCCACACTAGTTCGACCAAAGAAAGACATAATCACGATAACAACACATGATAAGGTTGCAAGATAGTATCCTTCTTATTAGTTGTAGTTATTTCATTTTGATCTTTGTAATCAGTGAGATTCTAATAAATAATGTATCAACTACTGATTTGCAGTGATCTCCATAATTTCAAGTTAAGCGGTCGAATACCTGAGAATATTGGAAATCTTGCTTATTTGGAATCACTGTAAGCAAGTCTAAATCACTTTCAATCTAGCATTATTTGTTGGTTAATTTATGATTGATTCAGTTTTTCTTCACCTACTACATGGCATGCAATTGATAATTGCTATGGCTAATTTACATAGAATTGTTATACTCCTCCATGAACCTATACTAAGTAGTAGACATTTATTTGTTAGTATCAATATTGTGAACCTCTTGTAAGTCGCAACTCTGGATTTTTATGAATTCTTGTTGGTTTTCTTCTTCTTTTTTGCAGAACTAGTATGAGATATTTAGTCATAGAGGAACTCGCATAACAAAGAAATTTTTTTTTTTTTTGATAATAGCATAACAAAGAAATTAACTATCGACAGCTGACCACTAAGTTTGTGCTGACTCATGCATTCGCGTACTATTTAGTGCTAACTAGCTCTAGGCCCAGCGCATTGCACGGGATCACAATTTTTAAATCAATCTAAAACTTAGATTATGTTATTAGAGATTACATTAGTAGAAAATCTTTTGGAATCCTTACAATGAAATGTCATTTAAGGAGGCGCAGTTTGAGATCTTAGTATGAATGTATAACTATTAATTTTTGCCTTATGGTTCTAATCTTCTTGAAGCACAAGATGTAGATTCGACTACAGGTCAAGGTTTCAAACATCTGCACCTACAGTAACCCACCCCATTGGTTCAGTTGAGCCCTCCTTTTGATTGATTAGGATAGATGTATGAATAGTGTAAGAGTTGATGATTAAGAGAATAAAAGTTTTAATCTTCTAAATATTTCTTTTCGAACTAATTAATCTTTAAAATGTATTGCACTACAATGAAGATGAAGGTCTTAAATTGAAAATCACAAAACTACAAATTTTGCAACTAACTTAAATCAATGTTTGATCAAATTGAAAATGTTTAACATTCGATCAATTATTTGTATCTAAGAAGCAAATTAAATTGCACAAATTTTTTATAAGTTAGTTTAACTAATCTATTTTCTCTACCTAAAATGTGGGAGTTTAGACATTTGAATGAAACTAAGAAGTAACCAATTAGACAACATCATCAAACCTATTTTGGCATAAAAGCAATTAAAAAAATGAGAAAATAACATATGAATTGCTCATTGGAAGGCTAATAGAGGAAATAGATTGGAGAATAATATAGTAGTTGAGTAAAAACACGTAATGTGCTTTCTACTGGAAGGCTTAAAGAAGAAATGAATTGGAGAACTTCTATTAGCTAACAAAACGAATACGTGTATTAACAAAAAGCACGTTTTTCTACCAGTTTTACCAAAAAAACTTCGAAATGAGCAGAAAAATGGAAGGGGGCACACTACTGCATGTTGCATTCTTGAAACTATATTTTTGATGTCACCTAGCTAAATTTATGTTTCACCTTTGCACTGATGTGAGGGATGGTTTGAATTTTGACTTAAAATCTTGTCGTGCAGTCTGTGTTTTGGTAGCTTGTGAGTTATATTTCCATCTCTTGGCCAGTTGGCCTTCTTGAAAGGAATACTTAGAAATCACACAAATATTGGAAGACTGTTCTTAGTATTCAAATGGTATCTAATTTTCGTTGACACGTTTATGTTGCAGTAACTATTGTGTTTGCCTTTTATCCTACAAAGATTGTAATTTTTTTTAAAAAGAAAAGTAAATATTGTGAATGGATGGTATCTTTTCTAAATCTTTTTGCCATTTTAACTGTCATTCTCTTGATGCATTACTTTGTATACTCAAGCAAAGTTTTTCCTTTTTTTTGGGTTCTCTTTCATGTAGGAATCTTTAAAATTGCTCCAAAAATTTTTTCCGTGCTTCTTTAAGTTGTGCAGATGCATATTTACTTTAGATTTGGAGGTTAATATGTATATCTTGATTTGATTTTTCAGAGACCTTTCCGGAAACTATCTTAACGGGCAAATTCCTGAATCTTTTCGAAATTTGTCGAGGATATCTGAAATGTGAGTAGGAGTTATCTGACTCATGTGATATTTCAATTTTAGAGATGAGTTTGCAGGTCTAATTTTGATGTTTCAGAGACCTCTCCTCCAACCATCTCAGTGGAACAATTCCTAATTGCTTTCAAAATCTGTCGCAGATAACTGAAATGTAAGCAACTCATTAGAACTTACTGAATTTTCTTACTTCTTTTTCTCTTTCAACAGTTGCTACTTTGTTAACTGCTCACGAAATACAATTCTGTTGTCTTGTTTTGTTATGAATGACAGTATTCTCTACGACAATTACTTGGGAGGAGCTGTACCAATTTTCTTTTCTGAGATGAAGAACTTGACATTCTTGTAAGTCAGCATAGCAGTATTTCGTGTCTATTTCCATAACCGGGTTATTAGAATTTTACTGCTCTTCATAAAACGAAAGAAATTTCTGAATCAGGATAAAGAAAATCAGATTTATCCACAACCTATGAGTTTCTTTCTTAGGTGGTTCTTCCATTTTATATTTGCTCATAAACAAAAATATATTATGTAGTCAAAGACAAAACTAAATTATTTCATTTAGTTTCAAGCAAGAGCATCATTTTTTATTATTTTATTTTTGTCCAAAAAAATCCAACAATTGTCATATGGTGATAACCTTTTTTTTTTCAGCAAAACAATAGCCATTTTATTGATGTATTAGTAAGCCTTACAAGGGAGCATCACCTCCAATTACATCAGAAAGCGTCACTAGTGAGAATTCACTATACTACTCGATACAAATATAAATTTACTGAGAACTGCACAGACAGAGCTACTCCTACAACTAACTTTGTAAACATTCTAAGGACAGACCCCATTCTAGGCTGGTTGCCAATTTTCATGAACTCTAGGAGCTCAAGGCCATGACACCACAGTCAATTGAACCACTCGGATGATAGCTGCAATCACTCTTGCAGTGATACGGCTGAGTGTCGAAATAACTTCCTATTTCTTTCATGCCACAAATGCCAAACTGTTAGAGCCAATGCTAATCTTCTAAGTTTTACAGCAAACAAATCAGATCCAGCCTGTTGAAACCACCAATCAATCTCCTGTCTCCAAGGCAAAGAACTTCAATATAACAGACATAGGCTCTGTACCTTGTCCCAAACACCACTAGAGAAATTGCGTTCAAAGAAAATGTGTTCTGAGGATTCATTTTGTTGATCACAATGTATACATTCTGGAGACACCTTAGATATAGCCCATTTAATAAGTCGATCCTTAGTCAGCAGCTCTGTTGTATTATCATCCATAAAGATAAAAGCAAACTTAGTTTAGGTACAAAACCTTTTTCCATACCGATGAGTACCCTGCTACTTCTTCCCTTGCTGATATAGTGTTAGCTTTAACAGAAAACTCTACTGATGCAGAATCATTCCATCTCTCATTATCTTCCCCATGCATCTGCTGCAGTAAGAAGACTGGATTTGCACTTTTAGAATTCTGCACCCGAGAGTTAAATCTCCTCCCCTTTGGCGAAAGCCAGTACCATTCTCACAAAATCCTTGACCCTGGCCATAGTAGATAGTCTCAAATCTTTAATGAGTGTAAATATAAAGAAGGGGATGCCAGTTATCAAACCAAAAGGATGAATGATCACCATTACCAATACCAATACTAATCAGAGATTGAGCTATAGATCTAAGCTGCAACAGTTTCCTCCAACACCATGAGCAATCTCCAGAATCTTTATCTCCACAAGATACAACCTTTCAGAATGACAGAGTGAATCTACTGTACCCAGAGAAATTCTTTCTTTTTGCAAATATTCCAAATTAACTTCAAAATGAAACGCTTATTCCAGTGAGTAATGTTTTGTATCCCCAGTCCACCTTGCTTGTTTGGTATACATGCATCTGACATTTCACCTTGGCAGCATAATCAGTTTTAACTTCTCCAGTCCAAAGAAAGGAGGCTTATAGACCATCAAATTTCTTAATCATGGTTTTCGGGAAAATGAAAACACTCATCCAGTATAGATAAATGCCACTCAGAACAGACTGAATAAGCTGGATCCCACCCTCATAAGAAAGCTTAATTGCTGCCGAATTGTGGATTTTCTGTTTAATAAACATTGGTTGACAATCCTTGTAGCTGAGTTTAGTAGAGTTAGTGGAAAGCCCAAGTATTTGACTAGTAAATCAGCTCTGAGCATTCCAAGTAAATCACAGAATTTAGAAGGATCAATTGGACTCTATATATATATACACACACACACACACATAAATAAAGACTTAAATAAAGGACTCAAATATAAAAGGACTCAAATAAAGACTTAACTTAGTGGTAAAACTTATTGGTAAAGTCGTCCAAGGTTTAAATCTCGTCAAAATCATATGTATACAAAATACAAAGACTCGTATCCTTGAGAAAAAAACTAAGTTCCCGATTGAACCAATGGGTCAGATGAATTTGATTGGATCAATGCTTTATTCAGTTAAATTAAGGACCTGGCCTGACTGCAGTTTACCACGTCTGAGTATTTCAACCGCCGGGCCAAACCAAATTTGATTTTTTTTTCCAGAAACGTTAGATAATTTCATTGATATGTTGTAAACTATATAATTGTTGAGCAAAAGTCCAAATTGACTTTACAAGTGCATCTTGGCACTAAGAGTGTAGCCATTCTTCATCAAAAGAAATGCTTAATGCATGCATAATGACTAAATCAACCCTTTCCTCCGTTAAGTTAGTGAACAAAATGAATATGAATGAGCATTCCGTAAATATTGAGCACAAATTTCTCATGTTCTCCAAGTGAGAGTATATTGCCATGTCTTCGGAATTACTGGTTTGGATCATTTTCAGCAACTGTTTCGGTTTAATCTTGATCTGAATCTTCTTCCATTCCTTATCTCTTGCCTTACATAATGCTAATTTAACAGCCACTGCTTGGTGCCTGAGTTTGTTACCATCAGTAGCTTCTTTGAGTGCCCCCTGAGCAATAATTTGTTTGTTATCATCCTCTACTACTATTCCAATCCCCATGTCCCAGCCTCCCATCCTCCACTGTACTGCAATCGTTAGATGAATGGTGTTGGCACCCTCCTTCCTCTGTACCTGTAGTTCAATTGCTTTTGGTGTTTCCAGCATGTTCATTCTTTTCTCTTGATCCTTAGTTTCTTTGTATTCCATCCATTCATTCTATGCCTTCTATACGATGTTGCTGTACATTGTTGAAAATTCTGTCGTTTCTTGCTTTCCAAATCTGCCACAGGATATTAGCTGTTAAGGCTATGTGTTCCATACTGTCCCTTCTACACCTGGCTTCTGTTAGTGAGCTCTACCACTTCTTAAAGTCTCCTCTCTGGTCTTCATTTCCATCCCAATGTAATGGAGCTAGATGCCATGTTTCTCCTCTCTAGCCAAACCATATTTGATAACTATGCTCAAAATTGTAGTATTCCAGTCAAAAAGAACTTTTGAAAGAGGACTCATTAGAAAGGTAAATTCTTTGATATTTCTTTTCAAACCGCTTATGGACTTTTCCCTCAAGCTAAGTATAACAATTATTGTTAGGAATTTGGTTTAATTTCTTTTAAGCAGGTTTTTTGTTTTGTATGGAAATAAAAAATTTCTTAATTGGTTTTAGTTATTTGAAGTAATAGCCAAGGAATTTCTTATTTTGTTTAGGATTATAAGTTATTTCTAATTCTGTACAACTCTAGAAATTAGAATTGATTTCTTATTATTATTGGGACCTTTGACCGGATAATATTCCCTATAAATAAATGAGTTAGCATACTACACAAGGGACACTCAGAGACATATAAGAGGTGACATGTAGCCTTATACATGGATGATAAGAGAGGGTTCTTAGGAAATGAGACATGGTATACAAGGGTTGGATTTGGGTTCAAGTTGTATTCTTGTATAGGATTTTGTTCTCATAATAAAAAACAAGTTTCTCTCTGTGGATGTAGACTCAATGGCGAAACCGAATCATGTTAAATATTGAGTGTTATTTATCTTTCATGCCTGTAGCTTGTTTATCATTAAATTATTGTATATTTGATATCTCAATAGTTGTGTGTTTCACGTTGAATCCTAACAATTATGATACAAAATACTCGAGAAAAATAACAGTAACAAGTTCTTGGATATAAAACTCACATTGTGTCAATGTTTTCAAAACCGGTAATGCCACGAATTTTTTCTTATAAAAGTCATAGACACAAAAAAAAATGAGGAAATATTTTTTTTCCATTTTTCAATCAATTACAATGATATAATTGTTATACATATAGCTAGGGTTACAACGAGCTAAGATACATTAATCTAGACAAAATTGAAATAGTCATTAATCTAATTTAAGCCCCAGTTCATATCTAATTTGAAATTCAAAGATATTTACATACATATCTTTAACTCACTCTAACATTTCTCCTCATGTTGTTGCATATATGTCATATGCTCAACTTGTTAAGTGAATTTTAGATGTTCATAATTGATACATCCATAGCAAGTATAGTGGCAAACTAATATTCAATTTTCACAAATGAAATCCGTATCACTTTATCTTCAAAGTTTTGTTTAATAAAGTGTTGATCAACTTCGATGTATTTGGCCCGATCACATTGAACTAAATCCATTCCCTATCAAAAGATCAAGCACATACTTTGGTTAAGATAAAAAGATGCCTTGCCTTGATCTTTTCACCTCAATGCCTAACACATATTTTAAGTTCCCCAAACTTTTTAACTTGAATTCAACTGATAATTAGTTCTGGAGTTCAAAATTCCCTTATGCATCATTGCCTATGGTATTCATGTCAACGAACAGATTATTAGAATCATCAGTTTCCCAACCCATGCTTCAAGATTAAGGTAGTTATCTATGTTGCTTTATTGAAAGCCATATCTCTTTATGGCCAAACTAAATCAGCCAAACCAAGCACATGACGATTGTTTTTGTCCATACAAAGTTCTTTGTAACTTGCACACTACATTTGCTTATGGGGAAGTGGTATATCTTGGTGGAATATACACCTTCTCTTTAAGACTCTATGTAGGAAAGTATTCTTCGCATCAAACTGATGCTACAACCAATTTGAATTGACTGCATGAGAAAACAAGATTCTGACAATATTAAATTTTATCACTAGTTAGAGAGTCTTCTCATAGTTAATGACATAAGTTTTTGTATATCCCTCAGCTACAAGCTGAGCCTTATATCGATTGATTGATTCATCAGCAATGTAGTGCACTGAGAAAACCCATTTGCATCCTGTAGTTTTCTTTTCCTCCAGTAGTGAGATTCGAGTCCATGTTTTATTCTTCTACAATGCTGACATCTCATTGTCTATAGCCTGAACCTGTTTTCGATTTACAAATGTATCTTGCACTCTATTTGGAAATTCTATTGAGGATACATTACGCACAAATGCCTCCACTAGTTCAGACAATCTATGAATCGCTGCAAATTTGGTAATAGAATTCCAATTTGGTGACTTGTTACTTATGTCTATTAGGTAATTACATATTTAACTCGTGTATCCAAATCAGTAGTAGATGAAGGTATAGTGGAAATACTTATTTTAGGCGTATTCTCATAAGAAGAAAGGCCAGACACTAAGGAATAAGGACTTATATTAGCTGCATCATTTTCTATACCAACCACTATATCAGCATCTTGAGAGGACATATTAACAGTACCTTCATGAAGACCATCAAAAGCATCATTAGAGCTGGCAATTATATCCAAAACCCAACAATCCACCCAACCCACCCACTAATTTGAGAGGTTGGATTGGGTAAGTTGGGTTTTGGGTTAATTTTAGGTTGGGTAATAAAAATCCATATATATTTTGGGCGGTTTGAATATTTATGTTGGCCACCCATTGCCCAACTTAAATTAAAAAAAACAAATAAACAAGTTAATTTAGAGCGGTATCCGACCTGCCCCGTTGAGGGTAATTTAGAGCGGTTCAGAGGATGAGCCCATTGAAACATGATGTGACATAGGCTTTTTTTATTTTATTATTTTTTTTACTATGTGACGTAGCTTCAATTGCTTGGTTCTGAGCAATATGTTGAGCTTCTTTATTTATTTGTTTCTACGTTATTGTTTTCCATTTTGGCCAAAAGCTTGTTTAACTTTCCAATATGCTCTGCCAATGACAAATATTTAAGATGATGAATCCACTTAAAATACAATGCTCTGTTTCGATTGCTGAGGTTGTTCGAGTCCTGCCATGGATGAATAGGAGCTTTGATTATCTTAATTAGCAGGATTTCATTAGCCAAACATTGATTTTTGTGGTTAGTAATTACAATTCCTCAACTGGAATCATATAATTAAAAACTAGCATTACCCGACTTGCCTCACACATATATATATTTTTTATTTTTTTTATTTTTATACACATACTATAAAATAATAATTTAGAGCTAAAGAAGTAATTTCGTTGAACAAATTACATTAAAAATATGAGAGACTATAGTTTATTTACAAGATTCATTTATGGGTCAAAATTTCAGTTTATAACTTTTTTAAAATGTGATTGGGTCCAAGTAGATTAAACAGTTAGTATGTGTGTGTATTTGTGAAAGTATATTAGTGTGTATTTTAGTGTGTTTGTATGTGTAAAAATAATGTATTTCAAAAGAACTTAAAAAGTGAGTGTGCGCTTGCATCTGTAAGTGTTTTAGTGTGTGAAAATATATTTATGTGTGTGATTTTTTTTTTTTTTTTTGTATATGAAAATATATTTGAGAGAGTTTATGTATCAAAATCTATTATTTAATATATTGGATCATGGGTTTGAAATAATCCAATATGACCCAATCCAACATTAATCCAATCTAAAGTTGGGCGGGTTGGGTGTAACCCATTTAAATGAAAACCCAACATTAACCCGCCCAAAACCCGCCCAACCCGCCCAATTGCCAGGCATAAGCATCATAAAACCTAGAAGCCTTGCCACCATTAGTCACGAGTAAATTGGTCATGTCATCATTGGGCATTACCAAATCACGATACTTGGCCATGCCAATCTCAGCCAATTTTGCTCTTCAATTATCCTGTATCTCCTGAACTGAAGAATTGGATAGTAATGATAATAAAATCTCTGCTTTTAGAAAAATACTCCCTCTATGCTAGGAAGTTTGTTACTTTTTGGGAAGTGAACTATTTAAGAATATTAGCCAAATAGAAGAAGTAGGCTTTCAAACTTCATATATTAGCCAACATATTCATAACGGTAGCTTGGAGGGCAAAATGAGAAGATGGACAAAAAATCATTTGTTATTTTTGGTAAGTCACACAAATTTTGGAACAAACTAAAAAGGAATCGATGACAGTATTAATAGGACGGAGAAAGTACCATATCTTAGTAATAGGATCATCGCACAAATAACCCTTCTTATGCACAGCATATCTTAAGAAGACATATCAAACTGTACAAGAATCCAATTTAGTGCCTTGATTCTTGTGTAGATGAACAAAAGCCACATAATTGAACATTTGTTGTGGAATTAGTAAGATCGGTAAGGCAAAATGATTAGAAGGACTTGCAATGGAGTCTGAATGTCTACGACTTTTTAATGGATCCTATTTAGCAAATGTATCATTATGGTGATTGTATCCATCTAATATTGGCACAAAACATTTACCCCAATCAGTTGAGCATGTGCTATTTCTGGTACATGAAGATTTTTATCAACAACCCCATTCTACTGTAGATTTTGAGTACAAGAAATTTCATGAATAAGGCTATTAGACTTGAAGCAATCTTAAAATGGTCAGTAATCATACTTACCACCATTATCAAAGCATAAAAGCTTGATTGTAGCTAAAAATTATGTTTGAATTATTAGTTGAAATGATTTGAAAACATCAAATACTTCATTTTTATGCTTCAACAAATACAACTAAATCATTCTAGCACAATTATTCACAAAAGGTAACAAACCAAGGAATACCAGTGAATGAAAAATTAGTGAGGGCCCCCATACATTACTATGTCATAAAGCAATTGGAGCAAAATTTTTATTTAAATTTATTGGATAAGGACCCATATAACTCTTGGTTAGTGTCACACTTCAAAAGTACAACATGTGGAGAAGACTATAAATCAATCAAAAAGTTGTCTTGTACAACCAAATGATCGGTATCTTAGCCATGGATACTATAACTAGATATCTCGCTCTTCAGAATTTTTTGTGTTCACATCTGATTTGCTCTTCATAGACTAAAATTATCCAACATAACATAAATACTCGCTCTTAGTGGCCAATGATTCTTGATTTGATATGAATATCCTGAAGAAGAAAGAAAACTGTATATAATAGTGCTACACAATTAAGACTAACCATGATTGAGCTACATATAGCGACTTATTTGAGGAAAATAAAACTGAAAAGGTATCAGGAAAAGAAAGAATTACAATAGAACAACATTTCCAACCCTTCTAATTGGATATGTGACACCATTGGAGAGATCATCGACTATCTCAACTAAATGACATAGGAAAAATCATTGGAATTACAGGTCATGTGATTAGTAGTCTCTAAATCGATAATCGATTTGCTATCATGGTGATTAGAGCTACGATTATCTTTAATTATTAATTACAAATTGTTGGGGTTGTATTAGCAAAATTGGAAGAAGGCACTAAGCAATGTGGCCAGCCATGAGAGATGCCACCGGATTGATAGTTGCTATGTCCACTCTACTAAAGTTTCTAGTTTGGTTAGCAGCATTCAACCAATCAGCTTGTCAAGTCCATCTTTTATGCACCTTCTACCAATCTGGATATTCATGCAACTTGAACCAAGTATCATATGTATATTTTTTCTCTCCTGTAATGAGCACAACCATTTCCATCGATTTGCACCTTAGTTTGAGATGACATAACCGGTCGCTTATTAGTCCCTTTGAAAGCTATGACACTGCTGATTGTGTTGTCTTCCCTTGTTAACATCATCGATTCTTTAGTATTTTCACGTCGAACATAGGCATATGTTTTGTTCTATTTATTTATTTTTAACTCAAAGACAAAATGTTGTTGCCAAGCTTTCCCATTGCTGTGTAGTGTTAATGCTTCACTCACATTCTACAAAGGGAAAAACAATGGCCATATGGTGGTGTGCAACTGTATTGCAAGTACAGCGTAGAGTCCTTTTTCTACATCTTATGTGCTAATTGTTTTTATTTATCAATTTGGAGCTGCAGAGATTTAAGGGATAATTTTTTCAATGGGTCAATTCCACGTGAATTTGGTACCTCTCCAGCCCTTGAGCTTCTGTGAGTATCTTGTTTTTCATTCAATAACCAAGTAATTTTTGTTTATGTAAAAATATAAGGAAAATGCTATACTATACGACGTATGACTTGCATGAAACTTCTTTGATTTTAGAGATTTCTATATTTGTATATATCGCTTTGTCATGTCATGATTTTCAATCCATTTTTATAGGTGGACTCAAAATATAATCCTGAGTCCTGACCTAGTGCTTAAAAAAAATAATCGTGACCTAGCAAGATATATATCATGTAATTTTTCTTTTTGCACTTCCAGGTACCTGGATGATAACTTTTTATGTGAGGGTATCCCCGATGAATTAGCCAACATCTCAAGTCTCACATATCTGTATGACCTTACAGCTTCATCTTTCATTTTTTTTTGGTTTTAACTATTTGGGGTGATTGGCTTTTCTAAAGTCTTTTCATATCATGATATTTTATAGGTCTTTCACTAATAATCAACTTTCGGGTCAGCTTCCACAACAATTGGGAAACCTCAGTAATCTTGACAGCCTGTAAGATTTATATATGTGGTTTCACAGTATAATCTCCACATTATGTTACTTCAGCATGTCAGTGGAAATTATTTGAAAGAGATTAGCGGTGGCAGATGATTTTCTTGTGCCCCTCTTACTTACACAATTTGTTAAAATAAATGCTAATTGTACTTCTTCAGTCTAAATTGGAGATTTTGGGGACTGGATTTATTCTCTTGGTCAAAAGTCTGGGCAATGTTTGTTTGAAACATTTTAGGATCATTTTGGCAAAAACTGGAAAAAAAATTTAAGGAAAAGATTTATTTACATCCAAACTTTGCAAACTTCTAATATAATGTGCGAACTTTGAGAACCGAACTGGTGCAATTCTTCCTTATTGCAACTTTGATGTCTACTTTGGTCCGTGTTCAACAACAATTTAGGGATCAAAGTTAATGTGGTACTTCCTTTTGTTTATTTGATTGTCTAAGAATTGTCCGATTCTTACTCCGGAAACTCTATATTTTCAGGTACCTAGAGAACAATTTATTCAGTGGTAAATTGCCTCCAAGCTTGGAATCACTGAAAAATTTAGTCATCTTGTAAGTTTGTTCTTACGTCACATGCATGTAGATATATCTCACGTGTAAATTCTATACGATTCAATAACTTTCTAGAACATATGCAGGTTTTTTGTATGCAAGTAGGATTCATATATTATGTTAGACTTTTGGTTTTACATCTTTTGTTACACCTTATATTAGGGAGACTGTACAACAGGATGTGTAACACCAAACAATAACGGATAAAAATTGCCATGCAACCATATATATATATATATATATATATATATATGTATGTATATATCTATATTGTTTCACCATGAAGTTTCTTCTGTAGCATTATTCAAGGAAATGACTTCAGTGGAAGGATTCCGGACTTCATCTCAAAGTGGCAAAATCTCCAAGAATTGTAAGCCTAAGTAGCTAACTAAGATAAGCTAAAACGAGGTTTATGTGCAATATCTGAAATCTTTTACTGTTGTAGAGATCTACGAGGAAATAATTTTGAGGCGCCTATACCAGATGCAATGTCAAATTTGTCAAAACTGAAAAAACTGTAATTCTTTACCCTGCTAAACTTTTTCATTCATTTTTTAATATTTAATCTAAAAGAAACATTGACATTTACCAGCCTTGAACTTTTTCCATTTCTTGGATTTTATGCAGTTCCATGAATGACATGGTTGGAGCAGACAAACCTTTGTTTCCCAGAATACAAAATTATGGTTCATTGCAGTTATTGTAGGTTATCTAGTATCCACCAATTTGTCCTTGCGTGATTCATTTGCTTATGATTTCTCTATTAATTTCCTTATTTCGTGAAAATCTAATTCTTTCCAGGACATTGAGGAACTGTTCACTCACTGGTCCAATTCCTGATCATATCTGGAAGTTGAAATCCTTGACTTACCTGTAAGACCCCAAACCATAATTAATTCATTATGACTCGTTTCCATCGATGTAGAATATTGCCATTTAAATATTTGTGGAACTTTACATTCTTCCCATCTTCTTGCCCTTTCTTTTGAAACAACAGGACACATGAATGCAGGTTGTAGTTTCCTTATTTCCAATATCAATATTATGCTAGTTCTAAATTTGCCGTTTGCCTTCTATACATATCAAAGATAAATGGCTTGCATTTTTATACTTTACTTCGTGTTTTACTGTTGTAGGGACTTGAGTTTCAACAGTTTGGTTGGAGGAATTCCACCAGAAGTGGATTTGCCAAACATACAGCACATGTATGGATCTTTTTCTCTAAGTTCCTTATTAATTTATCTATTTTTTATATATCAAGAAGCCCATATTCTTCCTATTTCACTCCCTCGTTTCATCGTTTATTGCAATCTCCGCATGTCTTTCATTCAACACATATATACAATTTTTTTTCAACAGAGTTATTGTAGCATGTGTTTATTAGGGCCTTCTAGCATATCTTTATCTGTTCAAGCTTAATGACTTCATTATGCTTCTTTAATATTAAGAACTGAATTATTTCTTTTCCTAGCATGAATAATTCAATTGGATCAACTAGTCTCAATTTCAACCATAAGGGGGAAAAGCTCTTAATTTGTTGGTTAAGTTTTCTTACTTTCTACTGTCTAGCACTCATATATGTAATTCTGTCATAACATTACGCTTACTAGCATCTATCCATGGTGCAAGCCTCTCTAGGTTTTCAAAATTTACTATCAATCTACCTACGTTTTACTTCTTCTGCTCTGCTTATCTTTTCAAATTACCTATCTTTATTTTTTTGCCAATTAATAGAATCAAAAGTAAGCAAACTATTGTGAATTCGTTTTCTTCAGTTTTAATTCCTATAGTACTGGTTCTGTGTAGGATTTGGTTACATGCTGATGGTAGAATTATGTCGCTACACGGTATATTATGACAATTTCCTCCAGGACTTAAAAAGCCGCAATACAATTTTCCTATTGCAATATAAAAAAATTCTTCCAAAAACAATTTTGAATAATTTTAGTTGATGCTTTGAAGGCCCAAGTTCAATATTTGTCTTTTCATCTTCTGCAAATTTTTCCATATAAGACCCTCAAACAATAACATCACTAATTACTATTGTATCTTACAGTTGAGTTCTAACGATAATAGACTGTATATGGAATACAAATAAATGCTTCAGTTAACAAAATCCTTTCTTATTTCCAAGAAATCAATGCGGTAAAATAAGTGGTTAGAGGTCCTCAATTATCGTTTCACACTGATGGCGACAATTGTTGATGCCAAAACTGGCTCAACTATTAATGGCGAAAGTTATCCAATTCATTTGCTTGAATATGACCTGTAAAAAATGATAGAGATTTTGTTCCTTGCAAAAACTCGATGCTTGAATCAGTACTTGATTAAATGCAAAACAAAACTAACCTCCTCTTTGATGATGTGTTGAGATGGATGTTAATGGGCCATTTATACTTGTGGGCTTGGAACCTTTTCTGAGCCAAAATCTCTTTCTCAGGGCTGGGGCTCTGATGTCCTATTTCAAGGTTTGTTAGAATAATATTGGTCCCAACAATAATGATCATAATGATGATAATTTCTAGGATTATTGCAAATGAAATGGATTGTTTATTTGTTTATTAACATTCGATAAGATCTATACTATCCTACTCTAGGAGAGAAGGAATTTAATTGGGTTGTATAAAGAGTTAGAGAAAAAGCAGGACCATTTAGACCAAAAGAGTGGTCTGGCACGCTGTTTAATTTTTTTTAATTGCATAATACGAGATTTGAACTTCTTGACCTACGTATCAAGGAGAGGTTTTTAATTCTTTTTGTTAATGAACTTGTATAAGACAAGTTGGTTTTCTAGAAGAAAAGTCAATGGTAGTTGATTCTTGAAAATCTAAGCCGAAAGTGCGTACGGAGTTTTGAGCAAAGGGTCTGGAACTAGGAAGGTGATTGAGAGCATGGTTTTGAGGCCTCATCATTTGAAGTGTACATATATATATATATATATATATATATATATATATGTGTGTGTGTGTGTATCTTGACTTCTAGACAAATTCTGGTTTGTCTTTGGTGAGTGTTACCTAAGTTTTGATTTATATAAATAACAATCGAAAAGCTTAACTACATCACTTAACAGCAGCAAAGTTACAATCTGCATAACTTTCTAATTCGACCATGTTGTCAAGCTATTAATTCATATCAATTTCCTGGCCACTTCAATTTGCAGAACCTTTTAAGCACGATAGTGCTTCAATGATTACCATAGCATAGTATGGCATACATTTGGATTTCTTAGTTGATTCGTAATTGCTGGTTATACTTTCGCAAGTGCAACTAAGCCAGTGAGAAATGAGTAGTAGTATACATTTTGGTTGTTATGGTATCAAACTGGTTCTAATAAAAGCATTTCTTGATGGTGTTTGACAGATTTCTTAGAAGAAATAACCTGAATGGGTCTCTCCCTGTGTGGCTGACAGAATTGAAGAATATATATGTGTATGTACTTGTTTCCTGAAGTCAAATTCTTCTCGGCACTAGACATGAAAGAGGCCACTTTATCTTAAACAGAATGTTAAACAAATGTTTGTTTATTGTTTTTGTTCCAATAGTCATGGTAAAGGTATATACCATCCTTCTCAGATGATAGCCAAATACTTTTTTATTGAATCATAGAAGCGCATGAGGACCTTAAGCCTTTACTTTCCTGACACATGACTTCATCAAAAAGTTATAACAGCTCTTGAATGTAGTGGAATATATTCATTTTCTTCAATAGTGCTGAAGAATTGCAAAATCGAGCGAAACTAATAAAGCGCCAAGTATCTTGAAAAAAGAAAAAAAGTTTCATGCTTATTTTCTTTGCACAAATTTTTTAAGTCAGGGAAAACGGATCATTGGAGGAGCATCATGACCGGTGAAATTCTCTACATTTGTATCTTCTGTCAGATTCCATATATTCTTTTGCTTGGAATGAAGTTTCTAAACATGCGAATTTGTTTCACCTCTTTGTAGGTTTGAAGTTAATATAGCAATCTTTAATGTACTCTTGTAGTGATCATCAAACATTTGCAGGGATGTTTCCGAAAATTCTTTCACAAACGTGACAATACCTAAAGATGCCTTTTCTCCGAGAAAGTGAGATAAACTAACCCATATGATTTTTCTCGTACACTTATCAACACTCACGTACATGTTTATGTAACATTCTTTGCTCACTCTACTTTGTGTTAGTTTTCAGTAGATTTCATTTTTTTTCCAGGAACTTTTTTGCTTGCTGTTCTAAAGTAAACACTGAGTAAGTTGTTGCCTTCTCATTTCATTTCTTTTTTGCTCAAGAAAATTTGACGTAGATAACCTTTCATGTGTCTTCCTATACAGGGGTATGAATTGGCTTGAAACTAATTATTCTTGTGGCAATAGCTCAAAGAGATGTAAGTTCATCAATTTTTTTTCCCGAGAGCACAATAAACACTTTCTTGACCTATTTTGATGGTAGAATTTAAATTACAAGCAAAAATGTGGTATTAACAAAGCGAATTCCCACCCTGTAGGCCTTTTGTCAAAGCAATATTAATACTTCTAGTGGTGCCCTCGGCAAGAAAGTAAGGAATGCAACTAATGAAACTGTCAATTTAAAAAATGCATTGATCTTTCCTACATTGACAGTTTAGGCATTTCTTAACCTTTTCTTGCATGCATAAATGCTTAATTGGTCTCGGATGGTATGACATCAAACATGAACTTAATTGATCATAAACAAACAGACATAATGTCTCTAATGGTTTACAACACTACTTGAGCTTGCTAAGTGCGCATGATATTTCTACATGATATTTTAATTGATCATTAAAATATCAGTAATAACCATGATATTTGTACAGATGAACATTTGTACATCAACTGTGGAGGAAATGCAGAAACAATAAATGGAAGCATCTATGAAGCTGATCTTGATCCAAATGGAGAATCAAGGTTCTATCTGAGCAGTAATGGAGCCTGGGGATTCAGTAGTATGGGAATCGTTGATTTTAAAAACCAGAAGTACACACTAAACAAGCAGTGCAATATTTCCTTAGTTGATGCGCCTTTATACATGGATGCGCGCGTATCTTCAATTTCATTGAAGTATTATGCATTTTGTTTAAAGAACAACCAATACATGGTGAGACTTCACTTTGCTGAAATAGGCTTGGATACGCCTAAAAATCCTAGGATCAAGAGAAGTAGAGTTTTTGATGTAGAAATCCAGGTAAATAGTCTATTCAAGTACAAAAGAACTGAAAGTTTACAAACCAGAGATTTTACTAACCAAGATTAATTGTACTACAGGGCAAGAAAAAAGAGAAAAATTTCAATATCGAAGCTGTTGCAGGGGGTGTGAATTTGAACGCAACCCTGGAATATAATGACGTTGATGTTCGTGACAACCGATTGGAGATTCACTTGTATTGGTCCGGAAAAGGTTCACCTTTCGGACGTTACCGTGGTCCCCTAATATCAGCTATTTCCATATCTCCCGGTATTTGTTATTTTCTTCTTTGTATATCGTACACTTTTTTTTTCTTCGTCTTGTGCTTTCCAGGATGTGCAATGTCTTGCTTTTCTGACTGATCTTTTGGTATTTTTTACTGGAATAGTTCCTAAAAGGCATCTGAAACTTTCTTCTGCAATCATCGTTGGAATTGTTGTATCTTCAATACTTGCTGTTATATTAATCTTAGCTCTCTTCTGGAAGTTCGGCTGGCTTGGTGGAAAAAATAATAAGAATGTCGGTAGGTTTATCATTGTGGCACAAAGCTGAAATTTAGTAGAATAAACTATAATTCTATGAGCATATCATTTGGCTCAAAAGCTATTTCCTTTCCATTGTTATGCTTGAGACAGAACAAAAAGGTATCGAGCTATTCCCTGGAGGGGTTTTGAACTTCCAACAAATAAAAGCAGGTACTAATAGTTTTGATCCTAAGAACAAGATAGGCCAAGGAGGTTTCGGGGATGTCTACAAGGTACGGTATATGCATCAAAATGATCTTAACTAGTCAGCTTTCAATCACTTTATCATTGATATAATGTCTCGGTTTTTTTCCCGGTGGTCTGTTTATTCAGGGTGTGCTACGAAATGGGACTATAGTAGCTGTAAAAAAGCTTTCAGCAAAGTCCAAACAAGGAGCCAAGGAATTTATAAATGAAATTGGTACTAGCTATGCTTTGCAACACCCAAATCTCGTAAGGCTATTGGGATGTTGTGCTGAACAAAGCGAACTTCTAATTGTCTATGAGTACATGGAAAATAATTCTCTTGAGCAGGCATTATTTGGTAAACAAGACATTTTCTTTGTACATGCAACACGTTTAAAATCTCTGTAAAATTGCAGCATATGAAGTCTCTTAACTCGCTGGCATCTGCAGGTTCGGCAGAAGTCAAATCCAGACTAAATTGGCTGATAAGAGTTAAAATTTGCCGTGATGTTGCGAAGGGGTTGGCTTATATCCATGAAGAATCTAGACTTCGAATTGTTCACAGAGACATAAAACCGACAAACATACTTCTTGACAAGGATTTTACTGCCAAGATAACAGATTTTGGATTTGCCAAGCACAGCAAAGAGGAGAATCCTCATGCGATTACACGCATAGCAGGAACAAAGCACGGCAAAGAGGAGAATCCTCATGCTATTACACGCATAGCAGGAACAAAGTAATCCAACAAGTTCTCCAGTACAATCTGAGATAAGAAATTATTTCTGCATTTTTAAATTCTTGTGATGATTGCCTCTTAACATGAAAGACATCTGCAGGGGGTACATGTCACCTGAGTATTTGCAAGGCTTCTTGTCAACGAAAGCAGATGTCTACAGCTTTGGCCTTGTCACACTAGAAATTGTTAGCGGGAAGCAAATTTCAACTTTTAGGGCAAAGGATCAGAATATTTACCTTTTGGATATAGTAAGGCAGCTGCAAAATACAAATCAACATAGACACATACAATTAAATTGATTTTTTTCCACCTTGTATTGATAGCTATTGCTTGGGCTTGTCTACACTTTTCAGGCTTATGATTACCAACACCAAGGAAATCTTATAGCTCTTGTTGATTCAAGCCTAGGATCTGATTACACCCACAACGAAGCGCTAAAAGTGTTGGATTTAGCAATGGAGTGCGTGAACCCAACTCCCAAGCTTAGGCCATCAATGTCTAAAGTTGTGAAAGTTCTTGAAGGAATTGTAAAAGATGTAGAAGCAAAATGGAAAACAAAGACTTCCTCTACTGGAAAAACTTCTTTGGGGGATGATTCTTCGATGGCCAACCCCGATTTTGCTTTCTCTCATTCTACTCAATCAGCTGGGAGTACATCCCAAGAAGGTGCTTCAGATATAATCATTTGTCCTTCAACAAGCAAAGAAATTGACGACTCCAGCAACTCGGACGATTAACATGCCAAGGCTGGAAATTAACCAGGAATCACTACCATGGTAGTCTTCCCTTGAGCATTGATAATCCTAATTTTTGTGAATGACAGCATTCATCATGCATTATTGCATTGAAGTGTCTCTGCAGTTAGCAGATTATAGTATTTAAGCTACTAAACAAGCCTTCATAAAAGATATTGGCTCATCTATGCGTGGAAATGATGCAAATTATTGTATGCTATCTCAAGTATAGCCAATATTAATGCAAATTCATGTCTATTGGAAGTAATTTGCAGTTTTTTCAAGTAGTTATGGTGATTAAAGAACATGGTTACCAGAAACTAGCCTCCTTCGCATAAGACTTCACACAGCTACTGAGCAAGTTGCATAAATTTCAGCATTTCAACACTTCATTTAGATGGGAACAAATGTTAAGCTACATTATCTCATGCGCTAAACGTCTTCTTCTTCTTCTTCTTTTTTTAGTTCTTCCTTTTTTAACTATAAAAAACAAAGGCCAAATTTTCTTTCGTTCATCTTAGAGATATAGGATATGTGGCATTATGTTAAGTTGGTATAGATGGCTAACGAAAAGAATTTAAAGCTGGACATTTTGCCGCTTGGAGGGGGTTTCAGCATAGGAGCGACGTCCCTGAAATTAGATGGATTTGAATTTTGTTGGTAAGCCTTTTCTCACATGCTATCCAGAGAGTGCATAACTTGGTATATGGTACTTTTCTCCTACTAGCCTCTGCCAAAATACAATTTTGTTGAAGACACCTTATTTTAGCTTAAAGTGTAGGTAGGAGTTCTTGACCTCAGAAGCGCTTACTTTTATTTCATCTCCCATATCATTCAACTCATCCTTCCCCCAATTTGGAACCACTACGAGAAATTTGGCCTTTTGTAACAATATTCTCAGTGACAACAGAGAAACTTGTCATAATTGAGAAAATTCAATGACAACTTTTGATGTCGTCATAGTTGCACGGGGCTACACTTGTCAACAGTGACAACACGAGATAAGTCGTCATAATATGGATGACGCACAACTAGCCAGTGTGGCGGGAGAGCACCATTGTGACAACCGGCAAATAGGTTGTCGCTGAAATAGGTCCTATAATGACAACTCAAAATGTCATCACAACATAGTTGCCGGTTCAAAATTAGTAACAACAACTACCCGTTACTGTCCAAAGTATTTGTTCCTAATTCACTTTCACTAATTCTACTATGTCACTCTAATTTTTTCAATGTGACCCATATGTTGTAAATAAATTTTATTAATTCTACTTTGACAGTGTAACTTTTACAATTGAACCCCGTATGTGGTAATTAATCTAATTAATTTTACCATGACACCTTATATTTTACAATTTAGGTTCGCATTGTGACGATTTGTCACTGAAATAGTGTGACGCCCCCACTTCTCCCAAGGATGAACCCAAGGGTATTGGCGGGACGCCTGCCCAACTCTCGCCAGGACTCGGTACAATCCATAATTCAAAACTAGGAATACTTCAATTAACTTCAATATATAAATTTAAAGTACTCCAAAACACTTCATACTTACAATAGTCAGCTCTCAAGTTTAATACAACCCAAAAGAATATTTACTACAGCCATCTGCTGTAGTACAACTTAAAGTTTTCAAAAGAAAACAATTTAGTACTATTCACGAGCACCCTTGGTCTTGAATCTTATTAAGGAAAACAAAAATGTGGAATGAGCTACACAGCCCAGTGAGGTTCCAAGACACTCTAGCAGTTCTAATAGATCAATTAATTTGAGCATACCACATACATGGTTCAAGGTTGCATATTGATCACCTTAACATGAGATAGTCATCATTGTACGAGTACTTTGAGCATAACATAAGCATGGTTCAAGATTGCACCTTAGCACATTAGCATGATACAGTTATCATTGTACGAGTAATTTGAGCATATCACAGGTATAGCTTAGGGTCGCACGTTGGCACATTAGCATGAAACAGTTATCATTATGTAAAATAAACACACATTGAAGGATACGGTGTTCCAGTGGAACCATTTCGGTCAACTGTACCTTATAACTTCAGAATCCCCTCGATTTGTCTGGCCATCACCTTATCCCTCTAGTGGTAGTACTCGAATATACCGAAACGGTGGCCCAGGGTTCCAACCTACCCGACCGAGCCCAATCCTGGATCGTGTAGGTTAGTAACCAAGGGCAGGGCCCAATTCAACTTAGAACTTACAACATGCACAAGTAATCAAATAAATCGGTAAACGGTAAACGGTAAAAATTTATCATTTTAATAGATCGAGTGAGATAAAGTACACACTCGCCTTAACATGGTGGATAATTTCATATGAGCAATTATTAGTAACATTTAACACATAAACACGTAAGCAATATACGATAATTTCATATGAGCATATAATTTACGGTAATCAAGTAATCAAGTAGTAAGGTAATCAAGTAAGCAGGTAATCACGTTGGTAGGTAATCAAGTAGGTTGGTAAATGGTAAATAATTATGGTTAACGGTTAACAGTTTACGGTAAGTAATTACGGTTAATTGGCAGATATTTGCCATTTTAATAGGCCGCCATTGGCCATTTCCCACTTTTACCACTTAAGAGTCGAGAAGATTCACTCCAATCGACTTATGCAGCCATAGCATAATTAATCATTGCAACACTTTACGTAAATATGCATTTTAAGTATTTCATGTCGAGTAATTCAAATATACTTTACTTAAATATGCATGAGTGTGGTAAATACTTGACATGTAACATTTAACACTTAATGATCATGAAATAAGCATGTCATAAACTTATTCAAATTACGTACTCCTATATGGGATACTCACCTAGTCAAAACAAGTGAGTAAGCGCCCAAACAAGTGTTTAGGCGTCCGCTCCGAGTCCCTCTTGAAGGTCCCCTTGAGCGCCTGAGCAAGTAATAATTAACTTTACTTAAAATCATGCATTTACCCAGAAGGATGCACACTCAATTAGACTAAATCAAAGCCTTAAAAGAAAGCTTCAATTCTCTCTACTCGAGGTTCAAGAGTGGAGTTTTAAAGTTCGAAGAGAGTCTAACATCGTTCATGAAATCGAGTTCAAAACGTTCAATCTATATCGAGAAAAGAAGTCAAGGTTCCAAAATTACATTTTCTAAGAAATTGGCAAATTTCAGCTTTGGATGTCAAACTTAGAAAAATCATATCTTGCACTCAATAGGTCCAAAAATGGAAAACTTAGTACCGTTGGAAACTAGTTCCGAAGTACTAAAAGTTCCTAAAACACTTTTCTAAGATTCAAAATAGAAGACACTCAAATTTTAGCTTAAAGTGGCTGACTTGGACTCCCAAGACAGATTCGGGTTGGTTTTTGGCAAACTTTGAAAATTCGGCAAAATTCACACAATACGAACTAGCCTCCAAAATTTGGAACTCAATTAGAGTTGCAATCAAAGTTTAAAACAAAACAAACGGAACAAGAATTGAAGTTTTAAGTGCCAAGATATAGCAGCCCAAAATTGATCAAAAATTCCTCCTTGATCAAGAATTTCCAAATTTGAAACATGAATTTTGGGACTTCAGCTGGACATTGAAATAGACTCAGAATGGCACAAAATTTGGTAGTATTACTCTACAATATAAGGGCTATTCATCTGTCAAATTTCATATAAAAATTCATTCGAGAAGTCGGTTAACAAAGCCACTAAAATTCCAAGAATTTCCAAGGTAATTTCCAAGCCACTTCAATTTTCTTTTTTTTTTTAAAAGCTTTGTTCCACACAATCAACTTCAATTAATTCAAATATTGAGACCTTGTTCCATAAACATCCAATAAGAAATTTATAAGTACTTGACATCAAGGTTTTCGAAATATAACTTCTCAAATCAGATTTGACCATTTGGCCAAGAGAAAAGGAAAATTTTCCAGATTCGAAGAGCAATTTTGGGACATCATTTGTATATTGAAATGGTCTTAGATTGACACCAAAATTGGTACAATTTAACTTCCATATGAGGACTACTCCTCTACCAAATTTCATTTGAAAATTCACACGGGAAGGTAGTGAACTAAACTACCAAATTTCAAGAAAATCCCAAGACCAATCTGTCATTTGCTTCCTTCTTCCTTTTCAAATATTTTGCCCAATGAAAATGATTCAAATCTAGCCCATTTATGAAACAAAGGTCTAAGAAATATCCAAAATACATTTGGTAGGTGATTAACACCAAGAATTTCAAGATCACAAGTCCCAATTCAAAAAGAGTCATTCAACTAGCCAAAAAGAGGGTTTTCAACCACTGAATCAGTTTCGAACTTTGGCCACAACTCACTCAATTCAACTTGAAATTAAGCATGGTTGGTGGCATTGAAACCTAGATTCATAAAGATAAAATTTCTTAGAAGAAATCATTTTCAAAATCTATCCACAGCTAGCTCATATTTGAGCATCACTTCGCTGCTCAAAACAGAGCTCCCAGTGTAGACGCGAAATAGGACAGTCATGTTCAAACGATTGGTATGGACTATTCAGGTCAAACCAGGACATGAATTTTATACTGTTGAAAAACTGGGAATGTCTAGTTTGCAATGCCACAAACGGCACTTGATTTCGACATCGTAGCAAAAAGTTATAGCCGTTTGAAGAACACTGCCAGAGCAGTTACGGGAAAATTTCCAGTTTTGCTAGACTTTCAAAATCACCACATTTGGCTAACCAAATCACGAAATTTTTTTGATGAAACTTTGTACACAACCTATATTACGCATATACATTAGAAACAAGTCATTATAACAACAAAAAAAATGCTCTAAGGACCACGGCATGTACAGGGGCAGAAATGAAAAAAATCTCCCCTTCACTTCCTTTGAGCTTTCCTTCAACAATACAACCTATTTCCACTAGATTAAATACTAATCCAACATTAATAACTCAAAACACAACAAATCAGTCCATCAAGCTATAGTGGGAGTTTATAGAGCCCACACACCAATTTTTCAACATAAATAAAGCTACCCATGAGAATCCAAGAGCTTATGGGTGTAATATAACTTCCACAAACTAAGATTTTGGTAGTTGATCGTTGTTTACCTCTCTTGATGAACAAAACAGAAATTTTCGGCCTCTTGAAGCTCAACAAAACCGTGGAAAGCAAGCTCTCTTCCTAGCTTGAGGTGGTCTCCAAGTAATTTACAAGTTGTAGCTAAAATTTGGGATGATTTGGGTGAGGATTTTGTGAAGAAATGGTGAAGAATTTTGGAGAGCTTTGGGTTGTTTTCCTTCCCTTGGTGGCTGGCTGGAATGAGAGCAAGAGA